TAAAGAGATGCTTAGAAGACATTCTGTTTCAACAGCAGTAACCTCTGAGAGGGAGGATGTCAGAAGTTTTTCATATTCTTTGTGCAGTTCTGTGAAATTTACACTTTTACAACAATTAGCAGGGTTTTCTTAAAAAATATGTCTCATAAAACCCAAACACAGGGCTCTTACAGCTTGCTGCCTACTGTGGCCATAAGCCACTGGCTTACCACCACCCAAGAGTGAAATATTCTACTTCTTTCACTGACGCTTAAGATTACACTAATTATTTGTTTTGCTGTTTTGTCTTCTTCTGGATGATGTAACATAATGTTGGTTCATATGGGCTCAGGATTATCTAAAATGTTCAGGCCTCTAACATAAACTTCTGCCACTTGGGTGGGCTCTGGTTTGTACTGGCATAACTGAGTTTTTTGGTTCAAGGTTAGGATTTTACATGTATCCATTATTTTTCCTCCAACTAATAAACTTTAACTAATAGATTAAGATTCACTCGCTGTTCTCCATGTAGTTGAATGTGTAGAAAGTATTGTATTCTGGAGTATATGATCTTTGAATGAGAGAGAGTATTGGGGAAACATTATAAGGAAGGGTTTTCCAGAAGTGTTGGCTGATGGAAAAGAAATGCAATAGCCAAAAGAAATTAGAAGTGAAGATGATGTCGTACCTAAGCCGTGGGTAACAAGAAACTGAAACTCCTTCACTCTAGCTCAGGAAACGATGGCGTAAGGTGGAATGCGGGAGGGCTCTTGTAAAGCTACAACAGGCCAACTGTATTGGGGTAGGCTAAATAATGGCCCGCAAAAGATTTCCACTCCCAATCCCCAGGACCTGTGAATCTGTATGGGCAAAAGGAACTTTTGTAATTAAGTAATTGATGTAATTGAGTTCAAGATCTTGAGATGGGGAGATTATCCTTGATTATCTGAGCGTCCCCAACATAATCACAAAAGTACTCAAAAGAGAGAAGCAAGAGGGCCAAAGCTAGAAAAAGGAGATATGACAATGGGAGCTGATGTTGGAGTGATGGGGCTAGGAGCTCAGGAATGCCAAGGCAGCTTCTAGAAGCTGGAAAAGATGAGGAACAGATTATCTCATGGAGCTTCCAGAAGGAACCAGCCCCCAGAAGTCACCTTGATTTCAGCCCCATAAGACCATTTTTAGGTATCTGACCCTCAGAACTAAGAGAATAAATTTCTATCAAGACACTAAGTTTGTGGGAATCTGTTACAGGAGCAATGGAAAACTAATACAGGTGGTACTTAATTTGCCTTGGGGATGCAGGCTCTCCTCCACTTTCTTCTCAGTGCATCTGTTGCTGTCCTTGACCCCTTGCAGACCTCATCCCACCGCTGAGTAGGGCAGGGATGAAAATAACTGGATTCTTCTCTTGGGGTTTTAAACACAAAAAGCAGTGGCTGTGGGCCCAACTTCTCGATGAGCCCCAGGGGACACAGTGCCCAGGGCCCGCATTCCCTTTAGGGGCCAAGAAAACATTGGCCTTGAGCTAAGTGTCAGTTACCCAGATCTGGGGTGGTTCACTTTCAGATCCCATCCTTTTGCTTTACCTTTACTCAGTGAGCCCAGGAGCTGTGAGGGAGAGTCAGGCTTTGCTGAGCTGTGCTTCCTGGCCTGAGGCCCTTTGAGGACTCTCTCACCACACTGGCATGGGGCCCCCTAAGGTGCCAATAAGAGAAAGCCCTTCATATCCAGGGTGTGCAAGTCCTCTTCACGGTGGACACCTTCATCTACACCTGTTGAGTCGGAGCTGTGTGCAAGCCTCAGAGCTCCACAGCTGAGCTCATTCTCTGTCCTTCCTTCCTCCCCATCCCTCTGCAGCCCCCCTTCTGAAGCCACACCTGCCTTGAGTGCCCACTACCCTTCCCATTAGTCCTCTTTGACCTGCCCAGGTTCATCAGCTTTCCACTGCACCATCTCTTTCTCCCCATCCTCCAAGGCATCTGTAAGCCCCCAACTCCTTCCTGCCCATGCACCAGAGGGACCCGTGGGTTTTCAGTCTTCAGCATGCACAGAACTGTAGCTTCTTCTAGCTGAAAGTTCACAGGGATTTGGGAGCCAGGCAGCCCTCTCCTTGTTCCCGTGGGACTATACCCATGGCTAGAGGTGACATGGCTTGTCTGAGTCTTGGGGACAGTCGTTAGGGCAGAATATGGTCAACTCTTTTCTTCTTTTTTTCCTCTGATGCAGCTCTTGCATTACAAGTTCATTACCATACAAAGACTAGTCTTCTGACTTATGAGAGGGTTGGATTCCATTACAGCTGATCTATAATACGTTGTGTGCCTGAAATGAAGATGACAGACTCAAACTGAGCTTCCCAAATGGTGGGCCAAACTGACCCAGGGTTATTCTGGGAGCATGTCACCATGTCGGACACAGGATACTGCACAAACCGTGTTCATACTGTGATGCCAGGCTGAAATACACTGTCAAACAAGTATATTTGTCTATGGAATTGTATGTCATAGCTCTTTCTCATATATGCTGATGGGACCTAAAATCTGGATCTCTAGTTCCAATGTCCTTCTTTTTCTTTAATTTTTAAATTTTTTTTAAGATTTTATTTATATATTTGACAGAGAAAGAGAGAGAGAGTATGAGAGGGGAGGGTCAGAGGGAGAAGCAGACTCCCCGCTGAGCAGGGAGCCCAACGCAGGGCTCGATCCCAGCACTCTGAGATCATGACCTAAGCCAAAGGCAGAGGCCCAACCCACTGAGCCACCCAGGCGCCCTCCAGTGTCCTTCTTGATGAGATTTTTTTTTTCTTTTATTTTCCTTAGGATTTTTTTTAAGGATTTATTTATTCATTTGAAGGAGAGAGAGAGAGTGGGGAGCCTGGGTGGCTCAGTGGGTTAAAGCCTCTGCCTTCGGCTCAGGTCATGATCCCAGGGTCCTGGGATCGAGCCCCGCGTCGGGCTCTCTGCTCAGCAGGGAGCTTGCTTTCTCCTCTCTCTCTGCCTGCCTCTCTGCCTACTTGTGATCTCTGTCTGTCAAATAAATAAATAAAATCTAAAAAAAAAAAAAAAGTTGAAGGAGAGAGAGACCCAGAAAGAGAGGGAACATAAGCAGGGGGAGTGGGAGAGGGAGAAGCAGGCTTCCCGGGGAGCAGGGAGCCTGATGCGGGGCTTGATCCCAGAACCTTGGGATCATGACCTGAGCTGAAGGCAGACTCTTAACGACTGAGCCACCCAGGTGCCCCAGGATTTTACTTTTGAGCAATCTCAAGATCCAAAACCACACACATTCCACAGACTGAGCCGGCCAGGGGCCCTTGATGAACTTTCTCTTTAAATGAATGGTATATATATATACTAAAATATATGGCAATAATATCATAAACACCCATGTACCACCATCTAATTTAATAAATAAAAACATTATTAATCCAGTTTTAGCTCCTTGCACACCCAGCCTGGATCCCACTCCCTTTTCTCTCCTCTTATAAACACCTCTTGAATTTGGTGTTTGCCATTCTGTGTTTGTTCTTATAGTTCTACAACATATGTCTATAGATTAAAAAACGCTTTTTTCCTTTCTTTATTGGGGTGGGATTTATATACTATGAAATAACCATTTTATTTTTTTTATTTTTTTTTAAAGATTTTATTTATTTATTTGACAGAGATCACAAGTAGGCAGAGAGGCAGGCAGAGAGAGAGGAGGAAGCAGGCTCTCCCTTCGGAGCAGAGAGCCTGATGCGGGGCTCGATCTCAGGACCCTGGGATCATGACCTGAGCTGAAGGCAGAGGCTTTAACCCACTGAGCCACCCAGGCGCCCCTGAAATAACCATTTTAAAGTGATCAAGTCAGTGGCACTAAATAACACCTTGTTGGGGTCCACCACCTCTATCTAGTTTCAAAACATTTTCAGCACTCCAAAAGGAAACCACACACATTCATAGTCACTCCGGCTACCCAGTCCTGGTACCCATCAGTAAACTCTCCGTTGCTGTGGATTTACCCATTCTGGATTATTTCACATAAATGGGATCATACAACATGTGGCCTCTTGTATCTGTCTTCTTTTACTTAGCATAATGTTTTTGAGGTTCCTGCACAGTATAGCATGTTTCAGTACTCTATTCCTTTGTCTAGCTGAATAATAGTTCATCGTACAGGTAGACCACATTCTGTTTATCTGTTCATCTACTGCTGAACATGTGGGCTATGTCCATCTTCTGGCTATTATGAATAGTGCTGCTATGAGCATGCGTGGACAGGCATTTGTCTGAGTGTAGAATGTTGTTTTGGATTTCTTTAAACTTTACATCACACTGTGCCATATGTGGTTAAGAGGTCTGGCTGAGGACCTCAGTTCTGCCCATGACGAGCTGTGTTATCATGGGCAATTTCCTGTATCTCTCTGAGCCCATTCTCTCATCTACAAAAGGGATGACTACAGTAACTATCTCCTACTGCTGTGAAGATTAAACAGATGATGCATGGAGAGCACTTGGCATGTACTAATTGCTCAATAAAGGGCAGCTGCTATGATCAATATTAATTATAAACCAGGTGGATGTTTCTGGAAAATATGGGGCTGACCTGCTGGACACATCCTTAGGTATTGGTGTGTTCCTCAGCCCCAGGACAAAGCCGGTGGACCAATCTGGGGCTGGACTCTGGCATGGGAGAGACTGCCCTGTAAATGAGGGTCTGTATTGGGCAATACTGGAGACTGACATTGGGGGCAATTGTTTCCATGCGGTGAGTGCTCGCAGGTGCCAGATACGATGTTGATGAGTTTGCACACATACCTCATTTCATCCTCACAACCAGCCCTGAGGTAGGTACGATGATTCTTGCCACTTTACAGCCAAGGAAAGTAAGTCACGGAGAACGCAAGCAGGTAGCCTGCCCAAAGTCACCCAGTGAAGCTAGGATGTGAATGGAGGCAGCCTTCAGAACCCGCATCCAACACCACTGCCCTGTGCCTCCCTTGAGAAAACCACTGATGCTTTTCTGTGTCTGCCATTTAGCTTTGCTTTGATCAGTGACAAGCGGTACCAAAAGAAAGAGCCTGTCATCAGCTCGGTGCACACCAAGGTGAAAGGGATAGCAGAGGTGAAGGCGGAGATACTGGAGAATGGAATGAAGAAGGTGGTGTCTGAAGTCTTTGACACCGCAGATTACACCTTCCCCATGCAGGTGAGCTCTTGTCACCAACTCTCAAAGACTCCTCCCTGGTCACGAGGGCCCTGCCTCCCTCCCCTGGGACCCGGAGCCTCAGGCCAAAAAAACACTGGCCCTATTTTAAAAAGCTCTGTGAAAATCCCAACTGAGAAAACCTAAAAATTGCAAAATTGGGTCAGATCCAGCAGCTCAAAAATGATTCTATGCTTTATCGAGTCCTACGGGGTTTCTCAAAATAGCAGTGTGATCTGGTGCATTTAAAGCATGATTTGATTCACTCACAACTTGACTTATACACAGCTCTTTAGAAGCAGGGCCATCAAGCAGGCAAGGTCTGCCTAGATTCAGGAGGACAAAGAACTTCCTGCCCGGACAGGACAGACCCTTCTAAATTGTTCATGTGGAGTTTTATCAACAAAAATATCTCCAGGAAAAAAAAAAAAAAAAAAAAACAAAAAAAACACTCACTCAGATACTTCTTGCACAAGGGAAAGGAAATGGATGACAAAGAAAGGAAGGGTGTGGGTCAACAGGGAGAGGCTAGCTGGCTGCTTGAATTTGTGAGAAGAGAAAATAAAAGTAGAATAGTCAAAAAGGAGAATCAAAGGAGGAACGAGAACACCAAAGAACAGACTGGGAGGCTGGGAGGGACAACGGGGCACTTCTTCAACATCTGGGAGCCGGGGTGCTTTGCAAAACCGTAAAACCCAGGCCACTATTTGTTTCTACCAGAGGGTTCAGTAAGATCTCCAGCTATTTCCTGGGTTATGGGCTGCCTTTTGCCCTTTAATTAAAATCCTGAAAAAAAGAATCCTGGATAATCTGAACAGTGTTCTGATGACGCCAAGACCCCACTGCCCTCCCCCAGCAGGTCTCTTAAGTTTCGATTTAACGGGATTTTATTGTGTGCGAAAAATGACAAGGATGCTTTTGAGGCTGGGTTGGAAAATGAACGCTCAATCAGTTCCGAATGTCCCTTTGCTCTCCTTCAGCTCAGCAGGGCGGTTCATCCAGCTTTGATACTAAGCCCTCAGTGTAGCCCAAGTTGCTCCCAGACCTGATTTCTAGAGTGTGGTTCTGAAAGGTGGAAGACTCGCCCCCAGGCACTGAGCAGCCTGGATTTTTGACGAAGTAACTCCGCTCTCCAAGGCCTGGCATTTGTCTCCTCTCCTCTTTCTCTGCAGGGAAACTCCTTCTTCGTGATGACAAACTTTCTTAAGACAGAAGGCCAACAGCAGGGGAAATGTCCTGACGTAAGGAGGGGACCTGGTGTGGTTAGGGCGGGTAAGAAGAGCTTCTGGAGGGGGCACAGGTCAGAGGAAGCTGATGGGCAGAGGCCATTTTCACACTATGGTCAGGCCCTGGTTCCCCTAAGACTGGCCATTAAACCTGCTCCCTAGAACACAGAAACTCAAATGTGCATAAACGAGTCATCGAATTTCTCTTTTCTTCCTTCTGTCCTCAGGCCTGAGACCTAGCTGACCTCATTTTCTGAGGCCAGGAGGAAGCGCTGGTGGCTTTGCCCAGTTCTGCCGTCAAGCGCTGCTTGGACCAGGCCTCCTGCCCTCCAGCCCGGGAGGCTTTCCCCGAAAGTGATTCCTGGCTGCTTCGGCATCTGCTTTTTAGATTTTTATTTTTATTTCTTATTGACATGTAACTCAGATGCCATAAAGTCCTCCATTTTGAAGTGAAGAAATGAGGGGTTTTTCGTATTTTCACAATGTTGTACCACTACACCACGACCTAATTCTAGGACATTTTCATCATGCCAAAAAGAAGTCCTGTACTCATGAGCAGTCACTCCCATCCCCCCTTTCCCTCAGCCTCTGGCAAGCACTGATCTACTTTCTGTCTCTGTGGATTTGTCTATTCTGGGTATTTCGTATCATTGAGATCATACAATACGTGGCCTTTTGGGGTTTCTTTCCACTCAGCATCTCATCTTGAAGCATTGTCGTGTTGTAGCAGGTATCCGTGCCTCCTTCCCTTTTATGGCCATGTTATATGCATTTTATGAATGCACTACTATTTGTTTGTCCTGATGACTATTTGGGTTGTTTCTACTTTTCGGCTGCTGTGAATGGTGCTGCTGTGAACATTTGTGTACAAGTTTTGGTGCATACAGAGGCATCTGCTTTTCTGTATCTTAAGAGACACGTGCTGCTTACTCCCCACTATCCTGTCCTTCTCCCTGCAGTTTCCCACCAGGAGGACGATCTGTTCCTCTGACAAGAATTGTAAAGAGGGACGGACGGACCCGCAGAGCAAAGGTATGTTCTGTTTCTTTTCTGGGATCCCGGGTGGGGCGGGGGGTGGTCTGGTACCCTGGTGACATTCACAAGACCCTAAAGTTCAAATCTTTAGCTTCTGGCTCTCAGCTGCCTTTTTCCACCCTCACTAGGCCATGGGAGAGCCTGTGTCTGTCCCATGCCTCTGCTCTGTCCCCAGAAGACTGGCTACTGTCTAGCAATGTGATCTAATTCCCTAGTGAGGGCAGCTCCTGAAATCCTTCAGAATTAGCATCTTCGGGGTTCTCATTGACAAAAAAATCCAATGGCCCCCAGTGCCATCTGTGTATGCTGAGCTTTCCCCCTCAAATTTCACCAAAGGTTGAGGAGTATGAATTATAGGCCCAGGGTGCCTAGGGCCATGGTACCACCACCAACCTATAGTATTTCTGTATCCCTCGTTTTAACTTAAAGAGTCACATGACAATAAAAAAAAAAAAAAGACCACAAAAAAGATAAAGCCATCAGTGGTTACAACACACATGCATACACAAAAAAGGCCTATGGATGTTACATTTTGTTCCATAAGACATGTGTGTTTGAGTTGGTACAGAGACCATTCAAACACAACTTACTATTTAATTTGCCGCTCGGGAATCTGTTAGTGACACGAACGCTCCAGAAGATATGCCATGTTCATTCTGTGGCTTTGCACACTCCTGATTCATGCTGTACACCCCTAAGGGACTCTGGTGCCCACTTAGATGCCAAGTTCTAGTCCACGTATGCCAGGCAAGAGAACACACCCTGCTCAGCTCCTCTCTCAGCATATTTTCTTGCAAAGAAACCAAAAAAGCCAACAGCATCCACAATCTCTCTGCCTTCTCTCTGAATCTTTTTTTTAAAAAAGCTTATTGTCCGATGTGCGCTTTGCTTGGATTGCCTGATGTAAGTTGGTGATTCAAATGGGGTTTCATGGAAGCTGAAACTGCTTGGGTTGAAAAGGATAAATAAAGAGTCTCTTGCTTGGGTTTAGTTCATGACGCACCCACGGTTTTCATACCTGTGCTTCTCTGGTCCCTTGGCCCTCCCCACCTCCCCACCAGGGATCCAGACCGGAAGGTGTGTAGTGTATAAAGAAAGGCTGAAGACCTGTGAAGTCTCCTCCTGGTGTCCCGTCGAGGAAGTGGGAGAGCCCCCCCGGTGAGCTGCGGGGGATGGGGGGAGATGGGGTGGCCCCGATCATTGAGCAGATGAAAAGTCCTGGGTCCTATTGACTTGGCACACCAGTGGTCTCCGAGAAGGCCATGCTAATTGTTAAAATACTGCAATAATTCTGTACTGACTGGTATATAACGATTACCCTGAGCACCCTTGGGTAACCCTGGGCCCCTGGCTGTCCCAGCACCTTACAAAGCACCTCTGGAGCCCTCCTCTAGCAGTACAGCAGGTCCCACTCTGACTGGTCGGTGTCCATACTGAGCAATTAAGGATGGGAAGGTGGCAGGAAGGGAGGGAGGAAAGGAAAAAGGAAGAAAGGGGAAGTGAAGGGGAAAGGAAAGAGGAGGAAAGAGTAAGGGAGGGAGAGAGAGAAGAGAAGTTTTCTTAAATTAAGTGGTCACAGTGACATACAGATTTGTTGATCCTTTTTGTTGATTCTTCTCTTTAACACACAAAGTCAGGCCCAGAAAGCAGAACTTGATGTTAAATCTCAGAAACCACAGGGATTGGTACTTTCAGCAGAAGAACAGAGAGACCTGGATTCAAATTCTGACTCTAACACTTCCTCACTGTGTGACCTTGAGCAAGCGGTTTAACCTTTCTGAGCTTCATTTTCCTTATTTCTAAAATGAGGATAAATAGTTACTCCCACTCACAGGGCTATCAGAGAATTAAATGAGATGATACTTGTACCTCAAAAGCAAAGTGAGCCCCATGCCTGGTTTATAGTAATTGTTGAATAATGCACGCACACACACACACACACACACACACACAAATGATCCGCCCCTAGAAGTGTGGTGGCTCTAGACCAGCACTGTGCAATGAAACTTTCTGCAATGGTGAAAATGTTCTGTACCTGCACTGTCCAATATGGTAGCCACTAGGTATATGTGGCCATTGGGCACTTTAAAATGTTGTGACTGCAACTGAGCAACTGAATTTTTAATATAAGTTCAATTTTAATAGTCACACATGTCTAGGGGATATTATACAGGAGAACACAGCTCTAATGAACGTACTCAAAACCACACCATCGGCATCTTCGGGGCAAAGAGAAGATTGCCCCAAGGTGACTTTTTAGAAGGTCCAGGCAAAGGCTTCCCTTGTCAGGGTGGGAAGTGTTTGGCAGTGTCAGCCTGTCCAGTCCTCAATCATTAATGGCACCACCCAGGTTTATTTCTAGGTCAGAGAAGTTTCTTTTTCGGAAAGAATTGCCCAGGGCCTGAGGGAACTATCGGTTCAAGGCAAGAGGCCTCTTGATTGCCTGTAGTTTTTGTTGGGGTCCGTTATCAAAGGAACGAGACTGAGACAAAGTGAAAGTTATGCAAAACCTTATTATTCTATGCCAAGCATTAGAAGTTAGACTGACCTGCCAGGGGAACGAGACTGAGACAAAGTGAAAGTTATGTAGAGCTTTATTCTATGCCAAGTATCAGAAGTCAGACTGACCGGCCAGGGCCGCCTCCGAAGAGAGCGACCCCCTCCCAATCTCACAGGCTGGTTTTATAGGGCATAACCGCAGACCCAAGGTACGTGGCTTCTATTGTTAAGGCATTTACTCCCGGAATCAATACCAGGAACCATACCAGGAACTACTGGGGCATTTATTCCCGGAATGAAGTCCATGGATGTAAACAACAATATGGCTACCTAGGCAATATAGAGTTGCTCTGGCTAAGCAGGCCCTAATAGTTAAACAGGTTTTAACATTAAATTGGCCCTAACAGTTTTTCAGTCACCAACTTATTCATCAGAGAAATACTGGGCATCTCCAAAGTGCAGGTCCTTGGACTGCACAGTTTTATATGACCTTGGGCAAGCAATCCCCTGAACTTTAGTTTCCTTGTATGTTATGCAAAGGGATTACTAAAATGATTCATTTAATCATTCAGTCAACATATCCAATACCACATAGGAGGTATTAGATATTTATTCTATATGTAACTATGCACAAGAGACTATGCTAAAAATACAAGCAGACCCAGACAGAGAGTAGATCCCAAGCCTCTTGCAGTCTAATCGGAGGTAAGCCATGTGCACAGAGAGCTATAATTCAAGGAAGAAAGTTAAAAATATCATAAGAGAAGAATAAAGGGCTTTGATCCTTCAAGTTTCAAGTCCTCTTATTCTTAGAATGTTGCCCAGGAAGCATGGGATTTAGAATGTTCTAAAGGTAAACGGTCTAGCATGTGGTAGGTATCTGTGTAAATAAGTTTTTTTTTGATGCAAATGTCAGAAATACAACTTAAACTGGCTTAAGGAAAAAAGACAATGTTATCATTATTTTTTAAAATTTCTGGGGCACTTAGGTGGCTCAGTGGGTTAAAGCCTCTGCCTTCGGCTCAGGTCATGATCCCAGGGTCCTGGGATCGAGCCCCACATTGGGCTCTCTGCTCAGTGTCGAGCCTGCTCCCCCCCCAACCTGCCTCTCTGCCTACTTGTGATCTCTGTCTGTCAAATAAGTAAATAAAATCTTTAAAAATAAAATAAAATTTCTGTAAATGAGGAGTCCAGAAGTATTAGCTTCAGGTAAGGCTTGATCCAGGCTTCAAATAAAAATGATGTCATTAAGATTCTTTTTCCTTCTGTTTCTTCCAATCCCCAACCCCATCCCACCTCCCCCCCCCCAGTTATTCTTTCTTCTGTTTTGGCTTTCCTCACACTGTGGTCCAGGGAACCCCAGGTTTACACTGTCTTTACTACTAGCAATCCTAAAGAAAATGAGTTTTTCTTTTTCCAGTATTTCCTACAAAAGTCCTAGAATGTTTTCATTGGCTTAAATCATATGACAATCTATCGACCAATTACTATAGCCATAAAAGGACTGGGTTATTCTGTTTAGCCAGCTCTGGGTCACTTGTCCACCCTGGGGTCTATAAGGATGGGCAGAAAATGGACACCTCCCCACCCAAACCTCTGGGTTGAGAGTGGGAAAAGACCTGGTTATCTCAAAGGGAGAAAACTGAGGCGCTTCTAACAGAGGGGAATGGATGCTGGGCAGGCAAAACCTATAGTGTTCTCTATAGTTATATAGAGCCCAGCTCTATATAACCAGAGCCAGAGCCCAGCTCTGGCAATTCTGGAATAAAAAGCAGATCATTTTTGGTGCCCCCTTCCAAATACCTCCATCCTTTCCTGGTTCTACTCCCATTATATATATCTGCCACCCACTCAGGCCTGCCAACAATAAGGTACCAGCTGTAACTCTTTATCCACAGCCAATTCTCTCCATCTTTAGCAGACTTCAACTGCATAAGGACAAGAACTTTGACTGTCTTGTTCATCACTATATTCCCAGTGCCCAGCCCCATGCCCAGGCCAATAAATATTTGTCAAATGAATGAATCAATGGGTTGTGGGTGGATCTTCCTAAAGTCTAGGATTTGGGCTCCTCTAACTCATGGAGAATTTATGCTACCCAGAGCCTATCAACCTATGACTGATAGAGCCAACTATACATGTGTGGCCCTATGCTTAAGGCTGGGGATGCCAAGATAGAAAGAATCCAAGCCTACAGGGAAAGATACAAACAGGGGGCTGCTGAAGCTGGCTTATACTGACTCTGAGCCAATTAGGCTCATCCCTTCCCAACTCCAAGTTCAGTGATACCCACTAGTGGCTTGAGATCAGCCATGATGGGAGTGCTTACACTAATCAGTAAATGCTACATATCAGAGTTTTTCTTCCCCCCTGGAGACCTGGCTGTTAACCATTTACCAGTATATCACCACATATCCTAAACACACAATTACATCAGAGTGTGAGAAGGGTTATAGTAAATGCCACGGGGGTCTCAGGAAGAGAGACGTTCTTCCTCTTTTTTAGATTTTTAGGAAAATTTTGCCTACTAGACTATATTTCTCTTTACTCATTGCAATGACCCAAGCCAGAAACCGGAAGCCCGTGGTCCCATTGGCCCACTGATACCCATTTCACCTCTCTCTCAGGCCTGCGCTCTTGAACAGTGCCGAAAACTTCACTGTGCTCATCAAGAATAACATCGACTTTCCTGGCCACAACTACACCACGTAAGTGCCCAGAATGTCTGGCCATTAGCCACTACTGCTGTGTAGTGGATTATGCCAAAATTTAGAAGCTTAACAACCAATATTTATTGTCTCCTGCAGTTTCTGGGGTAAGGAATATGGGAATGATTTCTATGGATCGTTCTGATTCAGGGTCTCTCAGGTTGCAGTCAAGCTGTCAGTGGGGACTGCAGTCATCTCTGGCTTGACTGAGACCAGAATCCTCTTCCATGCTCACTCACCTGGTTGTCAGCAGGAGGTTCAGTTCCTTACCATATGGACCTCCGCCAGGACTGCTTGAGTGTCCTTGGGAATGGTGTCTGGCTTCCCCCAGAGCAAGTGATCTAAGAGGGACAGACAACAAGCCAGCAAGACAGTAAACAAGATGGAAGCCATAGGCTTTTATGACTTAAGCCTGGAAGTGATACACCATCACTTCTGCCACATGCTAACGGTCACACAGATCGACCCTGCACAGGGTGGGAGGGGACCACACAAGGGTGTGAATCCCGGGGGCTGAGGATCCTCAGGGCCCCTCATGGAACCCAGCCACAAACTGGGTCACTCCCATGAAAGAGATGGGTCTCAGTTTTCAAAAATATGTTTGTTTGCTTGCTTGCTTCTCATGCAGGAGAAACATCTTGCCAGGTATAAACATCACTTGTACCTTTCACAAGACTCAGAATCCACAGTGTCCCATTTTCCGACTGGGAGAAATTTTCCAAGAAACAGGAGATAATTTTTCAGAAGTGGCAATTCAGGTTGGTGGTGTCTTTGGACGGCGAGGGTTTGAGTTGGGGGATGGAAGATGTCAAATGGCCAAGAGGCTGGGTCCCTGGATCCTAGTTATAGGCCTCCCTCTACTGAGCATTCAGTACATCCCTGCATGGTGCCAAGGCCTTGCCCTGCATCACCACATCTAATCCCACAACAACCCTGTGAGTGACATCCCTGGGCAGTAGTTCCTGTGGCTGCTCTAACAACCCACCATGATCTCGGTGGCTTAAAACAACACACATTTTCTTTTATACTTCTGGAGGTCAGAAGTCCAAAATCAGTTTCACAGATCAAAATGAAGATATCGGCGGGGCCAAGCACCCTCCAGAGGCTCCACAGGAGAATCCATTTCCTGGCCTTTTCCACCTTTTAGAGCTAGATGCTCGCAGCCCCTTCTCCTAGCTTCGAAGCCAGCTGCATAGCATCTTGCGTCAGTGGTCACATTGACTTATTCTGTGCCAAATCTCCCTCTGCCTCTCTCTTACAAAGATACTGGTCTTTTTCAGAGAGAGCATTTATAAAAGGAAACATGTAGGGCCCATCTGGATAATCCAAGATAATTTCCCCATCTCAGGATCCTTAAGTTCATCACCATCTGCAGTCCCTTGTGCCATATAAAATACTATATCCGAAGATGCTGAGGGTTGGGACCTGGGATTAGGAATACCATTGGGAGCCATTATTCAGGCCACCACACTTGGGTTAGTCAAGATTCTCCCAGATGCACCTTATAGATATCCAACTCAAATGATGTAAGCAAAGAATCAATCAAGAAACATTTTGGGGGCGCCTAGGTGGCTCAGTGGGTTAAGCCTCTGCCTTCGGCTCAGGTCATGGTTTCAGGGTCCTGGGATCGAGCCCTGCATCAGGCTTTCTGCTCTGTGGGGAGCTTGCTTCTCCCTCTCTGTCTCTGCCTGCCTCTTTGCCTACTTGTGATCTCTCTCCCTGTCAAATAAATAAATAAAATCCTTTAAAAAAAAAAAAAAAGAAAGAAACATTTTGGGAGCAAAAAGAAACCAAACTCAATTGGCTTAAGCAGAAAAAAAAGAACCATGTATTATTAACTCATGTTAAGACACCAAGGGAAATGGATCTTCTAGTACACCCAAAACATTTTTGTACCTCAGTTTTCTTTTCTTTTTTTTTTTTTTAAAGATTTTATTTATTTGTTTGTTTTAGAGAGGGAGCACCCCACCTTGGGAGTTTTCTTATTTCCTTCTGCTTTTTCCCTCTGCCTGGAACGGCCTTGCCCCAGACATAGCCTTAGCTGTCTTCCTCACCTGCTTCCAATATTTGCTCAAATATAAGCTCAGTGAAGCTTTCCCTTACCACTACCTTTAAAATGACAATTTCAGGGCACCTGGGTGGCTCAGTAGGTTGAGCATCCAACTCTTGATTTTAGCTCAGGTCATGATCTCAGGGTTGTGAGATCAAGCCCCACCTCGGGCTCTGCACTGGGCATGGAGCCTGCTTAAGACTCTCTCTCTCTGCTCCACACCCCAAAAAAAAACCTTATGATGACAATTTCAATTTCTACCCCTATCCCAGCAGGCACTATGGCCCCTGTCAGGTTTATTTTTATCCCCAGCACCTAGCACTACCTGACATAGTATATATTTTACATATCCATTTGTTTGTTGTCTGTCTTCCCTGACTAGAACATAAGTTCCATGAGGACAGGCATCTTTGGACTTTTTTGTTAATTTTTGTGTAATGCTCAGCATAGTGGGTACTCAGTAAATATTTGTTGACTGAATGAAGCATGTGATAGCAGTAGGCTATCTGGATGGCTGCATCCAGAAACTCAAATGATGTCATTAGGAATCTGACTCCTTTCATCCCTTTGCTGTTTCCTTAATGGTGATGTCACTCATAGGCAGACTATTCGTATGTCAAGGCAAAGCCACCAAAGTCCTACAACTGTGCTGTCTGATATGGTAGCCACTAGTCACATGAAGCTATTTAAATTAAACTAATTGAAATGAAGTGAAATATTTATTTCCTCTGTCATACTAGCCACGTTTCAAGCACTTAATAGTCACATGTGGCCAGAGGCTACCTTACTGCACAGCATGAATAGAGAATATTTCCATCACTGCAGAAGATTCTGCTGGACAATGCTGCTCTGGATTGTCACGGTCTCTGGCTAGTGGTCCCAAACCACAGATGACATCTTTTTTTATGGTTCTGGCAAAATGTCTCAGAGAGGACTCTGATTGGTCTATCTTGGGCCACATACCTATTCCTGAACCAGTCACCAGGTCCAGAGGAAAACACAGACCTTACTGGCCAGGCCTAAATCATGTTGCCTCTCCTGGAGCTGGGACAGGGGACAGTCCCATTCAAACCACTCAGCTGGGAGAGACATTTCCCAAAGAAAATTCCAGGCACTTTTACCAGGAGAACAGGATGCTGAGTGACAGAAACATCAGATGTTCACAATAATATGCAGAGTACTTAGCTTCATTCCAATAAATGACTATTGTGATTATTCTGTATTTCCCCTTTCTCCAAGTCAGAGTCTGCTTGCTACTCATCTTTTTATCCCTAGATTCTAGCATACTTGAAATACCACGTTTCATCAATTCAAAGAACATACTTTTTTCACATTTTAATATTTCTGAAATCAGAAAGTGCTTTCGATTGACAGAATTTCAGTTTAATTGATAGCATTTCCTTCTGAGAAGAACATAAAAATAAAACTATGCATCTGATAAGCAATGGTGTCTAAGAACCAGTGAAATAAGATAGTCAGTGCTCACAACATGTTTGTAGGAAAAAAGAAGTACCAAGTAGAGGTAAGAGATTAAGAAATTCCTTAGAGGGACGCCTGGGTGGCTCAGTTAGTTAAGCAACTGCCTTCAGCTCAGGTCATGATCCTGGAGTTCTGGGATTGAGTCCCGCATCAGACTCCCTACTCAGTGGGGAGTCTGCTTCTCCTTCTGACCCTGCCCCTTCTCATGCTCTCTCTCATTCTCTCTCTCTCAAATAAATAAATAAAATCTTTTTAAAAAAAGAGAGATTCCTTAGAAGTTCAGAAAAGAGAAGGATCACCTTGAATTGAGGGGGATGGGGTGGCTGAATGGATAAGGAAAGATGTAAGTTGAGTCTTGGAGGAGGAGGAGGAGGATTTAGCTAGAGAGATGGTAGAAATATTTGAATGGGAGAAGAGACAAGGACTGAGACCAAAAAGTTCAAATGTACTCAGCAATTCCACTCCCAAGTACATACCCAAGAGAAGTGAACCACATGTCCACACAAAAATTCATACATTATGTGTTCACAGAAGCATTATTCATAATAGCCAAAAGGCAGAGACAATCCAAATGTCTATCAAAGGATAAACAGATAAACCAAATGTAGTCTATCCACACAATGGAATTGTCTTCCATCATAAGATGGAATGAAGTACAGATATGGGCTACAGTATGGGTGAACTTTAAAAATATTATGCTAAGGGGCACCTGGGTGACTCATTCAGTTAAGCCTCCAACTCTTGTTTGCAGCTCAGGTCATGACATCAGAATCCTGGGATGGAGCACCACATTGGGCTCTGTCTCAGCACAGAGTCTGCTTGTCCTTCTCCCTCTGTTCCTCCTCTGGCTCACGCACTCTCTCTCTCTCTCTCTCTCTCAAGTCTTTAAAATAAGTAAAATAAAATCTTTAAAAAAAATACCTTATCTTAAGTGGGAGCACCTGGGTTGCTCAGTCAGTTGGGCATCCGACTCTTGACCTTGGCTCAGGTCTTGATCTCAGGGTTGTGAGTTCAGGCCCCACACTGGGCATGGAGACTACTTAAAAAAATAAATAAATAAAAATAAAAATATCATGCTAAGTAAAAGAAGTCAGCCATAAAAGATCACATACGATTTCATTCATATGAAAGTTCAGAATAAGCAACTCTATGGAGACAGAAAGTAAATTAGTGGTTGCTTAGGGCTGATAGGAGGGGTGGAAAGGGGCATTGATGAAAGTTTAGGGGTTTCTTTGGAGGCAACAAATAAAATTTATTATAGTGACAGTCACACATATATGTGAATATACTAAAAACAGTTGAATTATACACTTAAATACACTTGCACAAATTGTATGTGAACTATATCTTAATAAAGCTGTTTTTAAAAAAATGAAATGAAGCAACAGCGATGCAAGATGGCAGCCACCATGGGCTCGGGAGTAAAAGTCCCTCGCAATTTTCGACTGTTGGAAGAACTGGAAGAAGGCCAGAAAGGAGTGGGAGATGGCACAGTTAGCTGGGGTCTAGAAGATGATGAAGACATGACACTTACAAGATGGACAGGGATGATAACTGGGCCTCCAAGAACAATTTATGAAAACCGAATATACAGCCTTAAAATAGAATGTGGACCTAAATACCCAGAAGCACCCCCCCTTTGTTTTGTTTTGTTTTTTTTAAAGATTTTATTTATTTATTTGACAGACAGATCACAAGTAGGCAGAGAGGCAGGCAGAGAGAAAGAAGGGAGGAAGCAGGCTCCCCGCTGAGCAGAGAGCCTGATGTGGGCCTCGATTCCAGGACCCTGAGATCATGACCTGAGCAGAAGGCAGAGGCTTTAACCCACTGAGCCACCCAGGAGCCCCGTACCCCCCTTTGTAAGATATGTAACAAAAATTAATATGAATGGAGTTAATAGTTCTAATGGAGTGGTGGACCCAAGAGCCATATCAGTGCTAGCAAAATGGCAGAATTCATGTAGCATCAAAGTTGTCCTGCGAGAGCTCCGGCGCCTAATGATGTCTAAAGAAAACATGAAACTCCCTCAGCCACCTGAAGGACAGTGTTAACAACAGCAATTAATCAAAAAGAGAAACCACAGGCCCTCCCCCTCCCCCATTCGATTTAAGCAGTAGTAGTATATTTTCTAGATACGTCTTGTAGACCTCAAAGTACCGGAAAGGAAGCTCCCATTCAAAGGCAATTTATCTTAAGATACTGCAAATGATACTAATTTTTTGTCCATTTGAAATATATAAGTTGTGCTATAATAAAAGAAAAATGAGGGGCACCTGGTGGCTCAGCGGGTTAAAGCTTCTGCCTTTGGCTCAGGTCATGATCCCAGGGTCCTGGGGTCGAGCCCCACATTGGGCTCTCTGCTCCGCGGGGAGCCTGCTTCCCTTCCTCTCTCTCCGCCTGCCTCTCTGCCTACTTGTGATCTCTCTGTCAAATAAATAAATAAAGTCTTTAAGAAAAAGAAAAATGAATGAAAATGCCAATTGTGTTGAAGGCTAAGTGTGGATAGGGTGAAATAAGAGATTTCTCCAGGGGAGTGTTAGGAGGTAAAACAGAAAAGATATGTGATGGGGTTCCCTGAATTCCAGTGTAACAAGCTTCAACTTAAACTTTAATGGGGTGGGAGGGTGGAGGAAGCCATTCAAGGTGTTAGATTATGTAAGAGATTTACTGAAAGTTGTATTTTAGGAAAATAAATACGAGGGCGTGTCCCAGATGGGAGGACGAGCAGGGAGATGCGTTTGCAGCCACTTGCGCGTGTTAGATGGGGCTGTGCTATGGCTCTGAAACTTCAATTTGTGCTTCCCTCTTAAAAAAAAAACCTTTCCCTTAGTGACCATCCCTATGCAGGGAAAGGTCTGGTGGCTGCGTCCCACGTGCAGCAGGACTTAAAGACTATCTCCTTATCTTCCCCAGGGAGGGATCATGGGCATTGAGATCTACTGGGACTGCAACCTGGACAGTTGGTTCCATCACTGCCGCCCAAAATACACCTTCCGTCGCCTTGATGACAAGACCACCAATGAGTCCTTGTACCCTGGCTACAACTTCAGGTAACAGTGCCCAGAAACCTCTAGGCCCTGCTGAATTGCGTCTCCAGCAGTCAGTGAGAATTAATTTTGGTTCCCAAGGCAACAAGATGAATGCATAAAGCTTCCTCTAAGAACTAGGTATAACTGGATTTTTGTATGAATTTTTTTCTTTTTTAATTATTAAAGTGATAAAACCTCTTTGTAAAACAGAAACAAAATTGGGGAAACAGAGAAGAACGTAGAGAAGAGGCTATAAATCACCCATAATTCCTCAACCCTGCGATAACCAAAGATAGCTGGTGAATTTTCCTTCCCTTAACCAATTCTTTCATGAGGCTTCTATGAGAGCAGATCACATGTATAACCCGGTATTCTGTGTTTGTGTGTGTTTTGTCATTCCCTGGGTCATTCAGAATTCCTCGTGACCATCACGTTAATTATCCCATTGTGTGAGCATAATGATAACAAGAGGCACCACCTAGGGTGGGTTTTTTATATACCAGGCCCTCAAAGTCATCACCTCTCCACCTCACATCAACCCTGGAAGGTGGATATTATTGTTCCCAGGTAGAACTGAGAAAGGTGAAATGATTTGCTCAGGACCCCCAGCTAACAGTGGCTCCATAACCTAGGTCACTCTGAACCCCAAACCCACATGCTTTTCCTCCCATCGCATGGTTTTCTTTCCTGTTCCTCCATTATTTGGGGTGCCTCCCGGTTTTCTATTACAAATAATTCTACACCGCACATTTGTGCACATAAATCTTTGAGTTTCCTTAGGATGAATTTCTAGAAGTAGAATTACTGGATCAAAGATGAGTAACATTTTATCATACACTTTCAGGTTTTTAATTTTTTTCCTATGCCTCTACTTTTCATTTCTCGGGTTTATCAGTTCTTTCTCAAAGCCATCCATTACTGTTTCAGTGAGGTCCATTCTGACCTTATGGATCTTATTCCTTCTGTCTGTCCTACTGTATAACCCCTTTCACACTGACCTATTATCTGCAGTGACCTGGGTGGGATTTCTTCTTCCAAGGCTTTGAAGTATTTGGTGAGTTTCAGCAGGAAAGGTCTTGTGCAAAGTTCTGTGTGTGCCATGGGTGCGGAGGCATTCCTCTGGGGAGATCATATAATGCTGCAGTCTGCAGGACTGTATGGCATCTACCAATTATCAACCAGTATTTGGTTTAATTTCTGGGCGCTGATGTCCTCACCCTGCTAAAACTATCCTATCCCTGCTCCCTCCCTGGGTAGGGCTCCCGCAGCCTCAGCTCCCTTACACTTCTAGGGTAAGGCTGGAGCTCCCCAGATACAGAGCTGGTTGGGGTCCTCTTATGGGACAGACTCCAGACTCCAGACTCCAAACATGGCTCCAGTTCCCACTCCCCACTCATTCTAGCACCTAGAAAATGTTCTTCCTTGTTCTGAGCTCAGTAATACATCAGTATGACTTTTAAAAATATACCTTATCTTGCATTTCTTTGTGTGCAGTGGGAGGTGGTGGGTGTCCCAGTGCCAGCACTCAGGCTGCCACTTTGATTGGAAGTCCTTTCGGTAAGAACATCTTCAAGATGCCTGAGGCCACACTGCCGCCCCACCTGCAGCCTCGCCTGACTTTTAAGGTTCTTTGTAGCGTACCTTGTATGCTGCTTACTTCTGGACTTCCACCTTGTAAGAGCCGACCAGACTCCTGGTTCATCTTCACCAATGAAACTGGTTGGTGCTGGTTTGGTGCTGACCTTACTTTTGTTTTGACCCTCTGCGCAGTTACGCTTCTGCTCCTAACTTCTCCCCGGGAGTGATCCTATGCGATCCTAATTTCATTTTCGTGTTACCTCCTGTGACTGGGTCATTTTTTCAGCCTGTTGCTACAACTCTGCCCCAGCACTAACCTGGCCCTTAAGTTTGAGCTTCCATGAGGTCTCCTTGCTTGTGGATATCAGGCAGGTTTCGGCAGTTGTAATTATGGCTGATCCTTTTGTGCTGTTTGGTTCCAGATACAAAGTAGGCTTACGCTGTTCACTTTCTAAAAAAAGAGTTGCCAACTACATCCCTAGAATAATGGCTCTACAATCACTTTGCCTATGAGGCCAGTAGGAAATTGATATTGGTGCTCCTTATTTATTTATTCATCAAATATATATCAAAGAAAAAATATATTGTTGTGTCAATGGGTATATATTGGTAAACAAAATGGACAAAGTTACTACTTAGCTTATATTCTAGTAGGACATGAGTATAAGTCAATATATCATATAAGACAAAAAGATAAGTAAATTAAGAACTCCAACAAGGCAGCATAATTAGTCATTAGGGAAATGCAAATTTAAACCACAATGAGAAACACCTACATATACCCCTCAGAATAGGTAAAATGTTTTAAAAGGCTGGCAATTCCAAAGGCTGACAAGGAGGAGAAGCAACTGGAACTCTCCTATTTCCCGGGGGGAGTGTAAGATGGTACAACCACATTAGAGAAGCGTTGGGAAGTCTCTTATAAAGTTAAATGTACATCTGTCCTCTAATCCAGAAACCACACGCTTAGGTAGAGAAAGGAAACATAGGTCCGCACAAAGATCTGTATGTGAATATTCACAACAGCCTTCATCATCATTACCAAAACCCAGAAACAACCCAAATGTCCAACAGATGACTGGAGAAATCAATTGTAGTATATTTATACAGTAAAGAGCTAGTTAGTATAAATGAACATGCTTGCACATGCAACAACATAGAGGAATCCCACCGACGTTATAGTGAGTGAAAGGAGCTAGACTGAAATGAGCCATACTGCATGACGGCATTTATATGAAATACAGGGATAGGAAAAACAACTTTCCTGTGATAAAAGACACCAGTGGGTGCTGCTCTGGGGAGTGCAGGATGGGGGAGGCAAAATAGAAACTGACTGGAAAGGAGCCCAGGAGAGTTTTCAGAGGCGATGGAATGTTCTAGATCTTGATGGGGTACAGGTTATACAGTGTATTCATTTGTCAAAACTCACTGAATCAACTCTTAGGACTTGTGTGCCTTATTATATGTAAACCATACCTCAATACTGCCAACAGCTCCAATAAGACCATTTCAGATGATGATAAATGCTGGGAAGAAAATCAAACAAGATACTGTACTGCAAGGCTGGGGCGGAGCAGGGAGGGTGGAGTGGAGGAAGCGACTAGAGAAGGCCTCTCCAAGCAGAGGGTAGGACCCCTGTAAATATCAGGTGCTTTTCTGAGGCCTGTGCTTTCCTAGTTAGGAAGAGAGACTGCACAGACAGGAGCCCCTGTTAGGGGAATTGCCTTGGAAAACTTAGTTTTTGCCTCTCTGAATACCTTATTAATACCAGTATTAACAGTGTAGACCACTGGTTCTCAAAGTGCAAAGCCCAGAATCGGAATCACGTGTTGGGAACGTGTTAGAAATGCACATTCGCAGGCTCTGCCTGGACCTGCTGAATCAGACATCCTGGGGACCTTCACAGGCCCCCCAGGTGAGAGCCTCTCAGGTGTGAGACCCACCGATCTAGAACCTCCGCACTCAACACGTAGTCCTGGAACCAGCAGCCTGGCCTCACCTGGGAGCTTGTTATAAAGCAGAATCTCAGCCCTCACTCTTGAACTGAATCAAAATCTGCATTGGAGCAAGATTCCCAGGAGATTCCCATGCACACTGATGTCTGAGGAGCACTAGTCTAGACTAGATCATCTAGCACCCCAAACATACTTCCTCCTTAGAGGTTTCACCCAACTACATTTTGTCTCTACAACCAGGCTGCCAGTTTCCTGGGGGAGTGCATAAAAACAGGCAGCTTCTTAATCTGTACATTGAAGTGTAGGCAAAAGTGCCCGTGTGTGTGCACACATACATTCACCACTTCCTAACACTTCTGCTCACATTCCTACTGACTTCTGGAGGGGATTGGCTCAAGCAAATGGGTCTCTTTACATTTTACCCGAAGCAGCACCATAAACTGGCAGGCAGCCTTCAACTGTGTCTATTTTTGTTTACTTGTTTTTTGCCTATACAATGTTTTGAAAGTTGAGACATTCTACGTAAAAATCTGGACTTCTTATTTTTCTCAAGAATTTTAACTATTTGGCGGGGGGTGGGGGGGACTAAGCCATCTGACAACTCCGGATTCATATCCCACACAGCAGCACTCCGTTGGAGGGGTCAATGGTTCCCTTTAGAGGGCATGTGTGCGTTTGTTTGTTTGCTGTGGTCCCCATCACTCCCTTTTGCCTAATACCTGGCCTGCATCACTCATTTCTGTCACCAGTCTGGCCCCTGTAGGCATTTGAGTTTGAGACCCTTGACTAAAGGCTAGCTGAGATCAAGACACAGGATGCTTTTCGCCTCCTCTGGGTCAGTGGAGTTTCAGCCAGGGCCCAGAAAGCAGCTCCTAGTTGAGGTAACGTTTTGATATCCCCTGCTGCTCTACTGAACAGACTTACGGCCATTAGCAAGAAGAGACAATTGGATCAGTGGGCCCCTGACTGCCTTCACAGGCTGGGTTTTGTTTTTTGTTTTTGTTTTTGTTTTTAAGCAGTCAACAGAAGCGGGCTGGAATGTCCCAAACAGAAGTTAGCAAATGTCTTTTGAGTCACTGAGGTAAGCCTAAGAACACTGGCTCCTGGAGAGATCTGAGTTTTCTGAAGAACCGAGGTGGTTATGATGTTAATCCTCTTTCGGAACAACATGTTAGAGCATTTGTTGTCTGGAATGAGCCAGAAGCAATCTTTGGCCAGAAATAAACTGTCAAGTTCTGATGGATAACTGGACAGGTTATTTGCAAACAGCCACAAAAGAGAGAGAGAGAGAGAGAGAGAGAAAAGGGAATTATAGGTTATATGAGTTTTATAAAAAAAACAGAACTTCCTAAAACATAGGAAGTTGAAGAAGTTGATCACATTACAAAATTTTGTCCTTTACCAAAAGATCCATGGCAAAAGGTCCTTATTCGACAAACATTTGGTCCCATTTGTTTACAGCACATATGAAGCAGGGCAGGCCCACACTGCAGGCCCGACACACTTCTCTGGTTCAGAGTGGGCCTCTGCCCATGTCAGTCTCCCGGGCCCGCGGTAACACATGACTGCAAACCTGGTGGCTTAAAACAACAGAAGCATATTCTCTCACAGCTCTAGAGGCCATTAGTCTAAAATTAAGGAGTCAGCAAGGACACAATCTCTGAGGTCTCTAGGGGCAGATCCTTCCTTGCCTCTCCCAGTCTCCTATGGTTCCCCATGTTCCTTGGCTTGAAGCCGCATCACTCCAATGTCTGCCTCCATCTTTATGTGGGCTTCTCCTCTGTGTTTCTGTTTCAACTCTCTTCTCCTTTCTCTTATAAAGACACCAGTCATTGGATCCACCCTAAATCCAGGATGATCTCATCTTAAGATCCTTCATCGCATCTGCAAAGACCCTATTCCAAATAAGGTCATACTCACAGGTACAGGGGTTAGGCACTTGGACCTATCTTCTTGGGGAGCCGTTATTCAAAACGTTACGGTGTCCAAAAAACATTCTGCTCAGGGCCTAGTGTTCCTCAGAGTGTAGACCACTGGCCATGTGCACCAGCTCCACCTGGAATCTTTCCAGAAACATCTCAGACCTTCTGAAACCACCGTCTGGGGGATGAGGCCCAGGAATCGACCTTTGAACACACTTCCCAAGCGATTCTTATCCTTAGTTCAAGAACCACTGTCCCAAGACCCTTTGCTTTGTGTATTCAAAAAGAAATCACTCAGTACAGCAGCAGAAGAAAGAACAGTCATGGAATGGGAACAATCAGAGGCAAGGAAATCAAAACCCCTCTGGCCAAAAATAGGTGTTGAAGCAACTAAGAATATCTAACGGATCTCAACATCCCATTTCGAGAGTTTTTAAAAAAACAAGGAGTTTCAAATGCTCCAGACTGGATTCTGGCAGAGCATCTGTCTTCTGTTTTCTTCTCTCTCCACACCTGTAAATAGACTGCGAATTAAGACCTCAGAAAGAAAATATCTTACCTAAAAACAATCTCTGAAAGGTGGTAAGGGGGAGGGACAGATTGAAAAGGCTTGTGTTATGTGGTTTAAGCCTTCCTAATTATCCATGAAAACAAAACATTCTGCTCTTCCTGACTGTAACACCGGTGAGAGCTGTGTCTTTGGGGGTGATGGTGATTTGTGCCTGAGTCTTAATTTATAAAGGTGGCTGAGTAATGACGTGGAGAGGTCACTGATACAGAAAGAAGTTTCTTTTTTTTTTTTTTAAAGATTTTATTTATTTATTTGTCAGAGAGAGAGAGGGAGAGAGAGCGAGCACAGGCAGACAGAATGGCAGGCAGAGGCAGAGGGAGAAGCAGGCTCCCCGCCAAGCAAGGAGCCCGATGTGGGACTCGATCCCAGGACGCTGGGATCATGACCTGAGCCGAAGGCAGCTGCTTAACCAACTGAGCCACCCAGGCGTCCCAGAAAGAACTTTCTTCTTACGTTTCCAAAGAGGAGGGGCACACCACGCCACACAGGGCTACAGGGGAAGCACTGGGGTTGGTTAGGAGATGAAAGGATCAAGGGAAAAGCAGGACCCAGAACCTTCATTGTGTTTTCCATGCGACAGGCAACGCAGGACAGGGCAACAGCCTAGGACTGGCCTGCTTAAGTAATGTGGGCATGCTCCAGGCCGCAGGAGCAGTCTCGCTATAGGTACCTGGCCCTGAGTGACCTGGCACATGGGAAATATTGGCTCAGTGTGTGACGGTTAGAGAGAGGAGGTGGTTGGGGATATGGATATGGGGTTGGCCAGAGGGTCTGTAATATGATTTTCAGGCGCTTGCCAAAGCTGGGTTACAGGGAAGATATAAACAGTCGCGGCTGTTAGTTTGCCCCTGGTGATAAAAGGTGCAAATGGACAAATACAGAATCTAAGAAAATGTAATTAGAGCAGATGGCTGAACGGCAACTAGGCCCAATCTGGCCATTACTAACTAGGATCCCCACCCCACTCTGTTCTAGAAGCCAAACTCCCTTAAGAAATCATTGAATTTAGGGGCACCTGCGTGGCTAAGTGGGTTAGAGCCTCTGCCTTCGGCTCAGGTCATGATCCCAGAGTCCTGGGATCGAGTCCCACATCAGGCTCTCTGCTCCGCGGGGAGCCTGCTTCCTCCTCTCTCTCTCTGCCTGCCTCTCTGCCTGCTTGTGATCTCTGTCAAGTAAATAAAATCTTAAAAAAAAAAAAAGAAAGAAAGAAATCATTGAATTTACCTAAAACTTTTTTTTTAATTTGTCCACTTGTTGTTAATACTGTATTGGTTAAAAATTGTTCATTTTAATCTTAAATGGAAATCAGATTTTGTATCACTGTGTGATGGCGGAAGAAGAGGAGGCAACGTGGGAAGTGGTGCTTTGGTTCCAAGAGAGTAATTTGTGGGTTTGGATTATGTTCTTCCCTCTGCCAACTGCGGCAGAGCTAGAAGATGAACAAGGAAGACTCGCTCGGCTCCTGTTTTGGGTTTTCCTTTCATGAAATACCAGCACGTTCAGACACATCTTTATATACATGGATCCTTCTCCTCCTACAGATACGCCAAGTACTACAAGGAAAACAACGTTGAAAAACGGACTCTGATGAAAGTCTTCGGGATCCGTTTTGACATTCTGGTTTTTGGCACCGTAAGTCTCTGCTGCCAGCCACTGGCACCTCCATTCCTGGGACTGTCCTAATTATTGCTGTGGTGCCTCAAGGGGAGAATGTTTCGGTCATAGTCATTAGCTGGCACCGTGCATCTTGCCTGTGGGATAAGAGGGGGAAGAAATGTCTTTGGGGTCCTGTCCATGAAGAAGTCATCTAATGAGTACAAGAGTGCGAGTGGGAAAAAAACTGGATATTCAACTTTAAAAATACTCTGATGCTTAAAAAGAGAGAGGGAAAGAAATAAATCCTTTTGCAAAATACTTTATAAGTAACAGAATCCAACTCAGATGGGCTTAGAGAAAAAAATTATTATTTTTTTTAAATCTCACACAGGTGAAAAATCGAGGGGCAGTTTTCAGGCTTCAGGCATTGCTGGATCCAGATGTTCAAACAACATCCTTAGGAATCTGCCTCTCTCCATTCCTTACATCTATTCTCCTTTGTTTTGGCATCATCCTTAGCTGGCCATGTCTACAGGGTGGTTTCAGGCAGCTCCTTATATCTTACTGGCCCAGCAGTCTCAGTAAAAAAGAGAACATCTCTTTGCTAAAAGATTTGGCAAAGGATTCAGGCAGATGCCATTGGCTCTGACTGGCCCAATATGGGCCACATGCCCTGTGCTGAACTAATCACTATGTTTAGGTCACACCATACTCTCAACGGCCAGTCGTGGCCCTGCCCTGAACCAGCCCTTTCCCCTCAAACTATATGGACAAGTATGGACAGAGATGGTTCTCCAAACGAAAAGGGGGTGTTGTCTCCATCTCCACAAGAAGGAGGGAGGGGATGCTGGGCATGCAAAAATCCACAGATGCCCACAATGCCTTGTCCAAAACTGTATTATTTATGTTATATGTTATGTCATATGGTGGTAAGCAATACAAGAGTCAATGAGATAGAAGCTGAGAGGATGGAAAGATCATTGAGAAGAAAAACCACGAGGACACCTAAGGGAAGAGTGTGCACACATTCCTTCCCTCTGCTTCCAAGGTAATCTCAAACCACTTTTAGGGAAAACTTGTCTGAAACTCTCACCTTGTTTGGAAAAATAACTAACTCAGTGTGTGGGTTCCACTGTTCTTTGTTTAAAAGTCATGTTTTCGAGCACACCCCAGAAGGCAGTAACAGGATGAACAGTAAACCTATTTTCGTGTGCAGTCTCTGTTGCTGTGACCACAGACTCCTTCCTCTGCTGGAGCTGACAGTTACACGGTAGAGCAAAAGAGCACTGCTCTGAATGTCAACCAAGTCACCTTCCCATTTGTTTTCAGGGAGGAAAATTTAACATTATCCAGTTGGCAGTGTATATTGGCTCAGTCCTCTCCTACTTTGGTCTGGTAAGAGAGTCTCCATCCGTGCTTTAGGAAAGCAATTTGGCAAAAAGAAATCTCACTAACATGGCACCGATGTGGGTTTTTCCCAGGTCACTGTGATCATCGACTTGCTCATCTGCACTTACTCAAGTGCATGTTGTCGATCCCACATTTATCCCTCTTTCAAGTGCTGTAAATACTGTGCAGTCAATGAATACTACTACAGGAAGAAGGGTGAGCCCATTGTGGAGCCAAAGCGGGTAAGCCTCATTGCATCAGCAGGTGCTGAATAACCCAGAGAGTCAGTCGGATCACTGAGAAACATGCAAAAATAAGGCCCAAATCACAGGTGTAAGCCCACGGTGGACGAGTGTCTAGACTCTACCCTGATCCACCCCCTCTCAGGTGAACGCTTTGGTCTTAGGGAAGAACAGAAACAAAAATGAAGATGCAAGACAGAGGGAGAACAAATGTTGATGTTCTAGGACTTGTCAATTTTGTCCAATTTATTAAATTGGTACAGCCAAAAAACATAGCGACTTTGGAGAACAATTTGGCAATATCTAATAACACTGAGGTGGGACACACTTTACAGCCTGGCATTTCCACTTCTCCATACCTACCCTCAAGGAAGAGCATCTACCCAATGTCCAACTGGCGGACAGTGAAAGAAACTGTGACCAGCCCATAGCAAGGAGCGCCAGGCACTGGTTTAAAACAATACGTGGCGCGGGGCGCCTGGGTGGCTCAGTGGGTTGGGCCTCTGCCTTCGGCTCAGGTCATGATCTCAGGGTCCTGGGATCGAGCCCTGCATGGGGCTCTCTGCTCAGCGGGGGGCGTGCTTCCCCCTCTCTCTCTTCCTGCCTCTCTGCCTACTTGTGATCTCTCTCTCTCTCTCCGTCAAATAAATAAATGAAATCTTTGAAAAAAAAATAAAACAATATGTGGCGAATACTAAGAACAAACATTTGTACAGCACTTCAAAGTGCTTTATATATATTAATTCATTGGCTCTTCACAACAACCCTATAAATAGGTGCTACTGTCACCTTTCTAAAGATGAGGAGATTGAGGTGCAGGAGGGTTAAATAATTTGCCTGTGGTCATACAGCTAGTAGGTGGGGGAGCTGGAATTCCAACTCCAATTCCAGCAGGCTGGTTTCAGAATTCATCTTCATAACCTCCATGTTACAGGTACTGGCATGAGCAAATATCCAAAACGTGTGGTTGAAAGGAAAAAACCAAACTATAGAACAATATATATGGTGTGGTATATAGGTTAAAAGACTACACATATGAATTCATCCTATGAATTTTCTACATGTACATTACACGTATAAATAATCATATAAATACATGCATGCATTCTATACATTTTATATATGTCCTATATAGTTTATATATTTATTACACGTACACATGAACAGGTGTAGGGAGGATAATATATGCATACAAAAAGCTACTGGACACACACAAAAGTGACAACAGTGATTCCTCCTGCAAAGGAGCCTAGGATGGGAGAAAAGTCAGATGGAATTTGAGCTCATCTGGATTGTTTTGATTTAATTTGGCTTCTACTAAGCAGGTCCTCTACACTTGATTCCATGATTTCCCCTAATCAAGGAGAAATCTCCAGTACTTCAAACCACAAAGGGGGTTTGTCTTTCCCTCCTAAGAACATTACTGTCCTTTTTCAGCAGCCTGAAGGCACAATTCACTGGCCACTTGGACATGTATTATACAATTTGAAATGAAAGCTCATTTTTGCAACTAAAAATAATTACCATTTCATGGCCCAAGATGGGATGAAATTAAACAAAAATATAAATTATTTAAGTTGCGGAGCGCCTGGGTGGCTCAGTGGGTTAAGCCGCTGCCTTCGGCTCAGGTCATGATCTCAGGGTCCTGGGATCGAGTCCCGCATCGGGCTCTCTGCTCAGCAGGGAGCCTGCTTCTCTCTCTCTCTCTGCCTGCCTCTCTGTCTACTTGTGATCTCTCTCTGTCAAATAAATAAATAAAGTCTTTAAAAAAAAATAAAAATAAATAAATTATTTAAGTTGCAACAGTAAAATGTTCAGGAGATACTTGATGTAGAGTTACTGAAATAGAGGGAACATAACAGAGGACTTTTACATAGCACATGGGAGACCTAAAATCATTAGGGAGGAAGCTGTGGAGACTCTGAGCCCACATATTAAGGTGCATAGGGTTCTACTGCTGAGTCACCTTGGGACTCAGAAATCATTCATTCTTGGCTAGTAAGAGTTTTGGTCAGCTTCTAACAGTTTGTCATTTGGTAAGTAGCAATAATACTTGCCTTTAGACCTGTTCAGGTATGTGACTGTTGACAATTCTGTACAAAAATGGGTAAAATTTTTAACTCTCTTTCCCTAGACATTAAAATATGTGTCCTTTGTGGATGAACCCCACATCAGGATGGTGGACCAGCAGCTACTTGGGGAAAGTCTACAAAATGTCGAAGGTGAAGACGTCCCAGTAAGTTAAAACATTTAGTCTTTTTTTTTTTTTTTAAGAAAAGTTACTATTAAATAAAAATATAAAGGGCGCCTGGGTGGCTCAGTCAGTTAAACATCGGCCTTCAGCTCAGGTCATGATCTCAGGGTCCTGGATCGAGCCCCACATCGGGCTCTCTGCTCAGCGCACAGTCTGCTTCTCCCTCTCCCTCCCCTCTTCACCCCACTATTGTGCTCTTTCTCTCTCACTCTCAAATGAATAAATTAAATCTTTAAAATAAATAAATAAAAATATATCTACAAAGTTGTATAAATTGCAATTGACGAATTTTAACACAGTAAACACTCATAACCCAGAATATTAGCAGAAACCCTTTTCACGCCTCCACCCAATCACCACTTTCCCTTAAACATCATCATGATTCTGTATCCAAAAGTTAGTTTTATCTCTTCCAGGATTTTCTAAAATTTGAATCGTGTATGTACTCAATATATACTCTGTGGAGTGTCTGACTTCTTTCACTCAGTATTGTTTTTGTGAGCCATCCATGACACTGTATATAGGCCTAGTTCATTCACATCGTATAATTTCCATTTTATAAACATCCAATTTATTTATTCCTTCTGTTGTTGATGGACATTTGGGTAGCTTTCGGTTTGGAGCGCATATGCAGTAAAGCTGCCGTGGTAAACAGATGGTGCCTACAAGTGGACCCGGCATATGACACTATCAAGCCATTCTCTAAAGGGAGTGTTTTCATTCCCCCTCTCCGCAGCAGCTCCGACTGCGGGACACCTTCACTGTATAATTTCTGCAGCTGCCATAATAAATCACCGCAAACTAAGTAGCTGAAAACAACAGAAATTCATTCTCTCACAATTCTGCAGTCAAATGCTCTACCACTGAGCTATACCCCCATTCTCTCACAATTCTGGAGGCTGGCAGTCTGAAACCAAGGTGTTGGTAGGGTTTCTGAGGGCCCTAAAGAAGGATCCTTCTTTGCCTCTTCCAGCTCCTGGTGCTCATAACACCTGCTAGGACCTCTGGTACAACGCTGACTAGAAGTAGTCATAGCAAACATCTTTTTGTCTCATTCCTTATCTCAGGAAGAAAGCTTTTCATATTTCACTCTAGTATCTACTGTAGGGTTTTTTTTTTTTTTTTAAGATTTTATTTATTTGACAAAGAGAGAGACAGCAAGAGAGGGAACACAAGTAGGGGGAGTGGGAGAGGGTGAAGCAGGCTTCCTGCCAAGCAGGGAGCCTGATGTGGGGCTGGATCCCAGGACCCTGGGATCATGACCTCAGCCAAAGGCAGACACTTAACAACTGAGCCACCAAGGTGCTCCTGTTGTAGAATTTTAAAGAACGCTTTACTAGATTGAGAAAAGTCCCCTCCATTCTTAGTTTGCAAGAATTTTTGTTATAAATTAATACTAAGTTTTAAAATAATGCTATTTTCTGCTTTTCAAAAAATTATCAATGAGTTTTCTTTTTTCCGTTATGTGGTGAATTACAGAAATTGATTTTCAAATATTAAGCCAACCTTGCATTCTTGCAATAAAATCAATTTGAAGGTAATATATTACTCTATGTATTTATTGCTGGATTTGATTCACTAATATTTAAGATTTTTACGTCTCTTATTGAGAGAGACTGGCCAAAACTTTTCCATTCTTGTAATGTCCTTACTGGGTTTGGGTGTAACATGAACTCAGGGGCGGTAAGGGGGAATACACATAAAATTTACCATTTTAACCACTGTAAAGCATACAATTCAGTGACATTTAAATTCAAAAGTTTATCCACAATGCTGTGAAACCATCCTACTATCTAGTTCTAGGACTTTTTCATCAACCCAAAAGGAAACCCTGTACCCACTCAACAGCCATTACTCACACCCACCTCCCCCTAGTCCCTGGAAATCTTTTTTTTTTTTTTTTTTTTTGTGAGAGAGAGAGAGAGAGAGAGAATGAGAGAATGAGCAGGGAGAGCAACAAAGGGAAAGGGAGAAGCAGGCTCCTCGCTGAGCAGGGAGCCTGACTTGGAGCTCGATCCCAGGACCCTTAGATCATGACCTGAGCCAAAGGCAGACACTTAACCCAATGAGCCACGCAGGTGCTCCTGGCAATCATTAATCTGCTTTCTGTCAGCATGGATTTGCCTATTTTGGACATTTCATATAAAGAGAATCATACAGTATTTCCCTTCTTGTGACTGGCTTCTCTCACTTTTCACAATGGCTTCAAGGTTCATCTATTTGTAGCAGGTGTCAGTACACTGCTCCCCTTTTTTTTTTTTTGACTGACTAATACTCCACCGTATGGACATGACATATTTTTAACAAACTACAGAAATGATCCCTGAAAATAAATGTTTCAGACATTAAATTTTTATCCATTCATCTGTTGATGGATATTTGGGTTGTTTTTACCCTTTGGCTATTGTAAATCATGCTGCTCTAAGTGCTCGTGTATAGGAACTATTTAATTTTAAATTTAACTGACTCAAACTTTGCCTGATGAATGAAGGCATATGTTACAAAGAACAGATATAAATGATGTCAACGATGGCAACTTCTCTTGGAGGATAATAAATGGATTTGCTAGAAGAGGGAGACTGGTGGAAAAGGAGACAGTAGAGCAAAATCAACAAATATTTACTGTCTACTCTGTGCTGGGTACTGGCCTAGGTCATGGGGATACAGCAGTGACAAAGCAAACAGGCCCCCCACCCCCGCTTTCATGTAGAAGAAGCATCAACAGGACATATCGATGAGTAGGATCATTTCAGACGGTGACAAGTACTGTGAAGAACACGGAATCTCAAGACACGCTAAGAGTGACCTGGGCGCAGGGCAACCACCTAGATCAGGGGGATCAGGGCAAGAAGGTCTCCATGAGCAGGTGATACCTGCCTTGAGGCCTGGCGTGTCTGAAGTTCACTTTCCAAATCTGTGAAATGGAGAGAAGGACACATATCTCACAAGGTTCTTCAAAAGCTAAAGGGCAAATTTATAAAACACTAGCATAGTCTTGATATATACATTTGATAAATGACAGCTACTGGTATTAATGTGATATTAAGTGTAATTTTATAAGTTAATACCAAAATTAAAGAATCTAGAACCCTAGAGTTTGTCACCGCTGATGGGTTTGGAAACGACTTTTTCAGAGACCCTCAACGGACTTCACGGACTTGTCCAGGCTGCCGCTGTCTCTCTATGACCCATCCCCTACTCCTGGGCAACCAGAGGAGATGCAGCCGATAAGTAGGGAAGTGACTCCTATATCCAGCAACAGCCCAGGCTGGTGCCAGTGTGGACACTGCCTCCCGTCCCAGCTCCCCGAGAGCGACAGATGCCTGGAAGAGCTGTGCTGTCGGAAAAAGCCCGGTGCCTGCATCACCACCTCGGAACCCTTTAGGAAGCTTGTCTTGTCCCGACAGGTCCTGCAGTTTCTCCTGCTCTACCAGGAGCCCTTGCTGGTGCTGGATGACAATGCCAACAGCCGGCTGCGGCGCTGTGCCTACAGGTGCTACACCACCTGGCGCTTCGGCTCCCAGGACCTCGCCGACTTTGCCATCCTGCCCAGCTGCTGCCGCTGGACAATCCGGAGAGAGTTTCCCAAGAGTGAAGGCCGGTACACCGGCTTCCAGAGTCCTTGCTGATGGCACAGGGCTGAGCAGGAGTGTTAATGTTTGTTTCCTTTGTTTGCACCCTGAGCGTGACCTGCAAAGATCTGTGGCCAAACGTTCAACCAAAGGGAAATGTGTATTCCGCTCCTGCAGCTCTAGACGTGTCAGAGAGCAGAATGAACAAACAAACAAGCAAACCCGAATCCCTCAGCAGGGACCGAGTCGAGAGATTCTGATCTGTGCCTCAGTTCTGTCCCCAGCAAGTTGTGTGGTCCTTGGCTTTTAACTCTGCGCCGCAGTTGCCCTCCTACCCAACCTGCTATCCCAACCGAGGGGTCGGGAGGACAAACAGAGAGTGTACATGAACTTTTTGGTCAATGCATAAAGAGCTACATGAATGCAAAGCGGCTCCTTGTGAGGCCAGACTGGGATAAGGATGACTATGAACAAACCTTGGGGTGCTGGCTGGAGACTGTGGAGGATTAATGGTGGCCAAATTCCTGGGCACTTGTCCATAACCTAAGGGTTATGTCTCCTCCCCCTGCATGTGCGCAGCTCTGACTGCTTTAGCCAATCGTGGAAGTAACGCTGTTCTGGCTTCGGGGTCTTGGTCTTGGGGCTGACAGCTTCCGCCTCTCGTCCTGCCCCATGGCTGCTGCGAAGCCAGCCCCCATACAGAGGTCTGCCTCTCCTCAGACTACCCAACTGTGAGGCAGCTCCAGAAGCCACATGGACAACAGAGATGTCTGACCAGTTCCCAGCTTCCAAGACATCCAAACGCAGTTACTGGACATGGGAGAGAAGCCTTTAGATGATTCCACGCCCTACTAGCATCGGACTGCCACTGCAGGAGACGCCTCCCAGGGCACCCACGGAAGAAAACCATTGTTTTAAGCCACTAAGTTCTGTGTTGTTTGAGACGCAGCAACAGATGGAGGACAGAGAGCAAGCCTGACTCACTGGAACACAGACTCGGCCTAGACCTTCCATGGTTCTAGGGTTCTTAGGGAGACTGGACCACCCACGGGGGCTTCGGTCTCTGTTCGGCAGTCCTATCACGGATAAGAACAAATCAGGGAACCCACCAGACCAGCCCTGGAATCCATCCAGTCTAACTGTTGAACCACCCAATACATTCTCACCCACAGCCTATTACTAGGACTGGAAGTAGCTACTGCTGCTAAAACTGGAAAAGGCCACCTTTCTTTCTTTAACATCCTGTACCTCGCAGCCAATCAGAATGGACACAGTCTGGATGCTACTTAAAAAGCAACTCACACCCAAACCTTTACCATTTCTGTACAGTGACCTGTAAGAATGTGAAAATGGATAGTCAGAGGTTTTAGGATCTTCCTTCAGGATTTCCTTTTCATGGTTCTGGTATTAGAATTGATTATTTCTAAACAACTCTTTTAAAGAATAAAGACCACTATTCAACACTGTAAATGATGAAGGGTCTATGAGTTTTCTTAATACATATTCTAAGGTGTACCATTTTGATATGTTTTGAAAACCAGGTGCTTTTTACTGTATTCATGTAAAGTGAATATGAGCAAAATACTTCTTTTTTTGACCCAGGATTTTATCTGTCTTTAAACTCAGGAATAAACTAGGCCAGACTGAACTTTCATCTTTACTATCTTTCAGAGATAGGAGATGATATACGACTTCTTATATGTAAGAAATGTATTCGAAAAGTTGGTTATATGGGACTTCTTTAGAATTTAAATTTTTGCTCCTAGAATTCTAATGTATGAGCTACAGATTTCCATTCTGATAAACCTCTGAAACTTTATACCTTTATTTTATTTTACTTTATTTCTTGATGCCTTATCCCTAGTGTATTTTTATCACCCCTGGAGGCCCCAAATGGAGTCAGAATTTGTAATGACAATTAGGCCCTGGATCTTCCTACTATCCCCTTTCACCTTCCCCACAGATGCTTTAGGTGAGAGGGTGATGTGTTATGTCAATGGTGTGTAATGTCTGACACTTCCAACAATAACATGCATCTTACTTGTATCTGGCTTTTAGTTGACTGCAAAAAACTAATGTCATCAGCAAAGGCATCCCAAGGAGAATCGCACTTTATAGGATCTGTTTTCTTGTACTTAAGCCCATTATTCTATAGGGCAAAATTGCCCAGTATTCACTATTTCATGTCTGTATTAGAGATCTTTCTTGTAACATTAGCTGGTTTCATGTAGAATTGGTAATGAGCTTGCATTTCTCTCTTCAGAGGGCACCAGTTTTTAAATACATCCTAATTCTAGTTTGGTATTCACATGTCTTAACTAGATAATATGTTTTGATAATAAAAATATCATTGTTTTAATTATAAAAGATAATGTATAATTTATGATTACTGAAGTGTTCCTTTTACTTACTTTTCTCAGAAGATCCCCAAATCACGGTCAGGCATTGACACTTTCATTCAACATATATTTTGAGAAACTATGACATTATAAGATATATATTTGGTCTCTGCTCCCAATTCCTGACATGGAGCTCCTAAATCCCTTAGAATCTGCTGGGTGATAAGAATGTCTTGTGTTCTAACAACACAACTCTTGGTGGGCTCCAAACTTCAGGATGGGGGCTGGTTGCCAGAAAGACCAAGCTATGATCAGAAGCTTAGACCTTTGAGCCCCATTCTCTCATCCTCCAGAGTGGAGAGGAGTTGGAAATGGAGTTAAAAATTGATTGCGCCCACGTGTTAAAGCCCCCCTAAAAAATGTCTCAATTACGAAATTTGGAGAACTCCTGAATCAATGAACACATCTACATGCTAGGAGAGTGGCGCACCCCAACTCCACAGGGACAGAAACATCTGTGCTCAGGACTGTTTTGGATCTTGCCTCTTCATCTGGTTGTGGTCTGTATGCTTTATAATAAACCAGTAAATATAAAAAATGGTTTCCCTGAGTTCTGTATACCATTATGGTAAATGACTGAACCTGAGAACAGGGTTATGGAAACCCCCAATTTACAGCCACTTGGTCTGAGGTACAGGGGACACCCTGGGACTTGCGACTGGCACCTGAAGTGGAGGACAATCTTCTGGCATGGATGCCTCAACCTAAGGAGACTAAACTAACTACAGTAGTTAATGACACAATTGAATCTTTTTTAGAAAACTCTTTTTTTTATCTTTTTTTTTTTTTTTTTTTAATTAAGCAGGGTGCCTGGGTGGCTCAGTGGTTTAAAGCCTCTGCCTTTGGCCCGCGGGTCATGGTCCCAGGGTCCTGGGATCGAGCCCCACATTGGGCTCTCTGCTCCACGGGGAGCCTCCTCTCTCTCTGCCTGCCTCTCCGCCTACTTGTAATCTCTGTCCATCAAATAAATAAATAAAATCTTTAAAAAAAAATTAAGCAATGGGTGCACTGGATGTGGTTTTACTTCCTGCTGCTTGTATATTTCTTAACACATATTCTAATCCCATGCAGTCATCATTCTGGAAATCCCAAGTGCCCCCTGACTGACTCTGACTCTCTTTTGAAGAGATCTAGACATCACTATCTTCTTTGGCTTTTACTGTGATCTTTTGGTTTCCTCTTTTCCAGTTGTGTTATAAAGGGTTATAAATTATGTTTCCAAAATAAATGATGATCTGTGGAGAGGATTTTGCATTCCTAACATCCTTAGTTCCTCTTAATTGTCAAGGTCACATGAGACTGGATCTTCTGAAATCAGCGGATGAGGTACCCAATACTGACTGGCCATTTTAACCAAATAATTGCCATACTTGACAGGCTTGAATGAGTGCTTAATGCAAGCCTGGTCAGTATAGTAAGTTACGAGTTATATTTTATTCCCCAAGCAAAAAATAAGCTCCTCAAAGGCAAAGGACTCATCTTGGCTTTGGGTCCATTACATGCCTCTTCCAGCATGGTGGTACAGTGGAGAGAGACTCTGGAAACTGACCACCTAGAGTCAAATCCTGAGTCACTAATTAGCTAAGAGGACTCAGGCAGCTCATCTAATGGTTAGAATCCTCAGTTGCATCTTTGTGTCCAAGGTTGTTTTAAGTCTTAAATGTCGTAAGTGTAAATATATGTAGAGCACACTGCTCACTGCCTGTTACAAAATAAGCACTCAATAAATGTTAGCTATTGGGAACACATGGGTGGCACAGTTGGTTAAGTGTCTGACTCTTGATTTCAGCTCAGGTCATGATCTCAGAGGCATAAGACTGAGCCTCGTGTCAGGCTCCAGGCTCAGCTCAGAGTCTGCTTAAGATTTTCTCTTGGGGCGCCTGGGTGGCTCAGTAGGTTGAGGACCTGCCTTTGGCTCAGGCCCTGATCTCAAGGTCCTGGAATAGAGCCCCACATCAGACTTGCTGCTCATTTGGGAGCCTGCTTCTCTCTCTGCCCCTCCCCCTTGCTCAGGATGAGTGTGCTCTCTCTCTTAAGCTTCTGCCTTCAGCTCAGGTCATGGTCTCAGGGTCCTGGGATCATGCCCCTCATTGGGCTCCCTGCTCAGCAGGGGGCCTGCCTCCCCTCCCCCCTACCTGATTCTCTGCCTACTTGTGATCTCTCTCTCTGTGTCAAATAAATAAATAAAATCTTTAAAATAAATAAATAAATAAATTTTAAAAAGGGGGCACCTGGGTGGCTCAGTTGGTTAAGCGTCTGCCTTTGGCTCAGGTCATGATCCCGGGGTCCTGGGATCAAGCTCCGAGTCAATGCTCCCTGCTCAGTGGGGGAGCCTGTTTCTCCCTCTCCCTCTGCTCCTCTACCTGCTTGTGCTTGCTCTCTCTCTCTCTCTCTCAAACAAATAAATAAGATAATTTAATTTAATTTAAAAAGATTCTCTCCCTCTCCCTCTGTCCCTCCCACTTGCACTCTCTAAAATAAATCTTTTTTTTTTTAATGTTAGCTAAGGGGGTTATGGATAGGGTGGCTGGGTTATGGACATTGGGGAGGACATGTACTATTGTGAGTGCTGGGAATCGTGTAAGCCTGACGATTCACAGACCTGTACTCCTGGGGCTAATAATTCATTATATGTTAATAAAAAAATAAAGTTAAATTTTTAAAAATGTTAGCTATTACTATTTTTTAAAGTTTAACCATATGTCTAACTATGCTAGCTATTACTGTGATTTGGATGGTGCCTATTTAATAACCTCTAAATATTCCACTGAAATAGTTTAGAGACAAATCGAATGAGTACAAAGGAGAAGTCACTAC